CAGGAGGCCTCCCCGGGGTGCCCCCTACGGCCGCCCGGGGGCCTGCTGGGGCCTCTTTTTCGGGGATGAACAAACCCCCCTTTAGTAAAACGTGGTTTAGTGAAAACGACCCGAGGCCCAAACCTGGCGGGCGCAAGCCTGGAAAATAACGGCCACGGCGCCCTCTCGAGAACCGAAAACGGACAATTCACTAATCGACGTGTCACTGTTGGGGGTTCTGTCCACCCCCGACTCTTTTAGGCCTCTTGGAAGCCTCTTGGAGGGCCTGCTGGCGGTCTCGGGGGCCCCTCTGGGGCGGAGGGCTCGAAATCCAGCCACCGCGCGCGAAAGGCGCTCCGACCCCCGTCGCGGCGCGACGACGAGGCGAGGTTGACCCTCGTCGGGGGGGGTACCCCCCCACGCTTATGAACAAGCCCAGAGTACCATTAGAACCCTCTAGCGAAACGCCGATGAAGAAAAAATGCAACGCCAGCATCTCAGGGCCGCCCCGGTCTCCTGGCCGCAGCTGGCGCGCGCGCGCTCGCGCGCGGGGGGGCGGCAGGCCGCGGATCGGAGAGGACGACCTGGCAGTCAGCGTGGCGGCCGACGGTGAGGACGGGCTCGCCCTTTCGAAGGGGAGATCCCACACCTCCCCCTCCTCCTCCTCCCCCTCCTCCTCCTCCTCCTCCTCCTCCTCCTCTTCCTCCTCCACCTCCTCCTCTTCCTCCGCTTGTTCTAGGCTGCTCTGACTCTGGCCTGCAGATCGCGGCGTCTGTGCACATGCAAACCGAGTTGGGCAAATCACCCCTGAAAACACACATGTTTTTTCACCACATGCTTAATGGGGTTATGGTTATCTTCCTTCCCGCGTCGCACCCGCGTTTCCTCCTCACTCCTCCTCCTCCTCCTCCTTCTCACACAGCACAGCGCAGCACAACGCAGCGCAGCGCAGCACAGCACAGCTCAGTTCAGCACAACACACAGCACATTGACACACAGCACGTACACAGCACAGCACAGCACAGCACAGCTCAGCTCAGCTCAGCACAGCGCAGCTCATCTCAGCTCAGCACAGCGCAGCTCATCTCAGCACTGCACAGCTCACCCGCTGCGGACTCGCAAAGCGTGGCAGGCGTGCAAGATTCTCGACACCATGGGGGGTGCGCAACGGGGGTGTCTCTGAGCGCGGCCGCGATCCGAGCCACTCGTCCAGGGCATAGCAGGCGTGGCATATTCTCGACACCATAAAAGGGGGTGCGTACGGCGTGGTCTTTGAGCGCGGCCGCTACCCGAGCCGGTCGTCCAGGGCATAGCACGCGCGGCAAGTTCTCGACGCCATAGGGGGTGCGTAGGGCGTGGTCTCTGAACGCGGCCGCTATCCGAGCCGGTCGTCCAGGTCGTAGCACGCGCGGCATTTTCTCGACACCATAGGGGGTGCGCAAGGGGGTGGTCTCTGAGCGCGGCCGCTATCCGAGCCGGTCGTCCAGGGCAAAGCAAGCGCGGCATTTTCTTGACACCATAGAGGGTGCGCAAGGGGGTGGTCTCTGAGCGCGGCCGCTATCCGAGCCGGTCGTCCAGGGCAAAGCAGGCGTGGCATTCTCTTGACACCATAGGGGGTGCGCAAGGGGGTGGTCTCTGAGCGCGGCCGCTATCCGAGCCGGTCGTCCATGGCAAAGCAGGCGTGGCATATTCTCGACACCGTAGGGGGTGCGCAGGGGGTGGTCTCTGAGCGCGGCCGCTATCCGAGCTTGTCGCCCAAGGCATAGCGTGGCATTTTCTCTCGGCGCCATAGGGGGTGCGCTGGGGGTGGTCTCTGAGCGCGGCCGCTAGACGAACCAGTCGTGCAAGGCGTAGCGGGCGTGACATATTCTCGACACCATAGGGGGCGCAAGGGATGGTCTCCGAGCGCGGCCGCTATCCGAGCCTGTCGTCCAGGGCATAGCAGGCGTGGCATTTTCTTTACGCCATAGGGGGTGCGCAAGGGGGTGGTCTCTGAGCGCGGCCGCTATCCGAGCCGCTCGTCCAGGGCGTAGCAGGCGTGGTATATTATCGTAACCTTAAGGGATCCTCTCCACCCTCCTCCCTCCTCTCCTCTTGACTGGCGTCACCGACGGTATCGGCGGGGCAACGGCCACCCACAGCATTATCACATGTTTCAGTTCAGCTATCAACACTCCAGCCATAATATAAGTATGTGGTGTTCCTCGGTAGCGTGATTCCGTCGGCGGCTAGGCAGAATCACTGCGCTGGCGATGGGGCGCAAGCGGGATGCACGAAACGCGAATTAAGCGCAATGCACGGACACACACACACACACACACACACACACACACACGCGCACAATGGCAAAGTATCAGCCTCAAAGAAAGGATAAAGCTAACGAGCAGAGGGGAGACAGAGAAGCTCGCGAGGGTACAGAGAAGCGGCAGGCACTGTGATGAGGAGGTGGGCAATGACAGGCAAGAGCAGAACATGATCAGGAGGAACCGGTGGAGGCAGGATCCTCATCCTTCCCCTCGCCATCATCCTAATCATCGTCAACATCGCCATCACGATCCTCCTTCTCCTCACCATCATCCCCTGGCGCTGCGACGTATAAAGGCCCTGCCTTTTGTCCGGCGTGTTTTCTTCGAGCAAGGCAAATACACATTTTTCATATCGCATCCGATAAGCTTATCGTGGATAGTGTTACACATGCGATGTTCGTCAGGGCATTTGCACGTCGATACAGGACGGACAGACAGCGAGGGGAAGAGAGAGAGAAAGGAAATAAAGAAATGAAGAGAAGAGGAAGAGGGGGTGATAACTAAAATAAATAAAGCCATGCATGTGTGTATGCATGTGTATATATATATATGGAGAGATAAGAAACCGTACGAGAGGGTGAGAGATAGAGAGAAAACATAAGAAAAGCATGAAAATGCGATGAAGATGATGGCGAGGTGGAGGTGTAAGGAGAAGGAAAACGAGACGAAGGAGGATGAGGAAGAGAAGAAGAAATCCCGCCACCCCTCTCGGCAGAGGAAGTGCAGAGCAAGTCCGTTTCTAACCCCCCTTATTACCCTTCGGGAAAGGATTCACTCCTCCCACTAACCCCTCCCCTAGGTGGACGGGCCGTCCCGCGAGGCGTCAAAGAACCGTCGTTGGCGCATGATGACTCCAAGATGGCCTCAGGTAGCCAAAGATGGCCTCCAAGATGGCGCAAGGCAGTGCAAGGCGTCTCAAGATAAATTCCGACATGTCTCCAAGAGGACCCAAGACCGCTCCCGCTCCGAGTGGCCACGGAACCGCCCAGGGATGACCGAATTTGGACAGAGTCTGACCATAATATTAGGAAACCCGCCTCGCGTACCCGCTTCCGATGAGTTTCTGAAGCCCCACAATCGCCCAACAAAAAATCACAAGAGGGGCCAAAGATGGCTGCAAAACAACCACAAGAACGCCGAAGAACGCTCCAAGAGTGCCCTAAGAGGGCCTCAAGAGCGGATCGTTCGGGCAGAAGAGGGGAGACGCTGATCGGCGCCGCCCGCTTCGCCAAAAGCCAAGCCGTATGACAAACCTGACTTTTAATAGAGCATATCGGGGGCATCCTCGAAGGCGTTCCAGCCAAGATGGGCCCAAGATGGTTTCAGCGAGGGCATGGAAAATGGCGCAAGATGTTCCAAGACGGCTCCAGGTGTCCTGAAGCATGCCTCCAAGAGGCTTCTGGACAGGACGGCTCCAAGTGGCCACGAAGCGTCCCGAGACCCCCGAGAGCCCAGCACAATCACGCCAGCCCTCGGGGCGTGAGTGGTCTAATGAGCTCGATCTGCTAACCCCTTCCTTCCCCTCCGGGGAGGAGGTTTCCCCTCCCCCTACCCCCTCTCACTGGGTCTGGAGGGGCGTTCCGCGAGGGGCCCGGAGGGCCCATGACGGCCCCCAAGATCGATCAAGATAGCCCAAAATGGTTCAAGTTAGCGTCCAGCATGCCTTCAAGAGCCTTCAAGATCGCCCCAGGACGGCTTGGAGTGCCCCCCGAACCTCCCAAGAAGGCCCCCCAGAGGCCAAAATCCATGGCGTCTGCTTTCTCGCTAGATCGCTTCCGATTGACTTTGAGGCCTCGCCCAAGACCACCCCAAGAGGGCCCCAAGATGCAATTTTGAGGGCTCTGACGGGGGGGGAGCGTACTTAGGACCGCCCCCCTGTTGACCGATAGATTCCAAGATGGCCCCAAGAGGGCCCCAAGTCTTCCAAGACAGGCCCAAGAGACCCCCAAGAGGGTCTCAAGAGGGGCCCTGGAGACCCCGAAGAGCGTTCCAAGAACGCAGCAAAAGGCTTCCTAAGTGGCCCAAAAATGGCCCCAAGACAGCCGCATTCTCCTAGACTTCCCTGACCAGGGCAACTCCACTGACGTCTGTCTTTGAATGGGCTGGCAGGGATTGTGGTACGCGGGCGCGCGAAGCAAAGTCGAATGCCGAGCACGCTAGGACGGGCCGTGGCTGGCAGGGATACTTTTCCGTCGCAGCCGCAAGCGAAGGCGCATGCAGCGTCAGAGGTCAACCCGGGCAACTGGCAGGGATACGCAAAGCATCAAGAATTCAAACCTACTGAATGGTCTTATTTGTGTTTCGGGCCTCTCGTCTTTTCGCTTCCAAGGGGTCTCCGAGGCTTCAGGACGGCTCCGAGATTTCCCGAGCCCCAAGACGGACCCAGAAAAGGTCCCAGACGGACCCACAAGCGTTCCGATAGCCTCCAAAAACGGTCCCGAAAAGTAATAGCTCGGACTCCACACGGGCAACGCGAATCCGGACCGCCTCCGGCTTTGCTCGATGGCCTCCAAGACGGCCCCAAGAGCGCCCCCAAAACGCCCGCGCACCAGATGGCCAGCAGCAAGATGCCAGACTCTGGGCGTCTGACATGAGAAACACCCAGGCGCGCCGACTGAAGTACGGCGGCGGCGGCACGCCTAGGCACGAGGCGGCCGAAAGGGCCGCCGCCCAAACCAGCGGGCAGAAGCCAGCGAGCCAGCGGCAACGGACAACTTACGACAACGGCCGCACGGCCGCCGCCATCAGCACGCGCAGCTCCGGCCGAGGGACCGAGGCGAGAGGAGGACAGGAGCGACGAGGGGATCTCCTTCGCGTGAGGCAAGGGCCGTGCAGGCGCGAACGCCACCACCACCATCACCAGGACCACCACCAGGGGACCCCGGGGGTCGGAGGTATCACGGGGTCGTCGTCGCAGAGCCCGGAGCCTCTCGGGGCAGTCTTGAAGGCCTCAGGGGCTCTCTTGAAGGCCCTGAAAGGCCCTCGAGGGAACCCCAAGAGAGCCTCGTGAGGACCCCAACGGTTTCCAAAGGGGCCACAAGAGATCCCCAGATTGGCCCCAAGAGGCCTCCAATAATCACCTACGATGTCTCCGAACTCATGATTGGCAGCCTCTTCGCCTCACCACATGCTTATCTATTTCCCTTCTCCCGCCCCGAGAGGGGCCCAAGAAAGGCCGTAGAAAGAGAACACGAACCGACGCCTCCTCCAACCCCTTCCCCCCGCCTCCCCGCCCCCCCTTCACTCCCCGCTCGCCCCCGCCCTCCCCTCCCCCTTCCCCGCACCCGCCCCTCCCGCGGCGACGGCGACCCAGCACGACGAGGGGCACCAGCCACCCACCACGACGGCGGCGGCGGCGGTGGGCCAACTCGGCCAGGCTGAGGGCCAGCAGCTGGGACCAGCACACCTCCGTGCTCGGCGCCTGGCGCCGCGGCACCGCCCGGAGAAGGGGGCGGCCGCGGGCACGGCGAGCCTCCCGCGCGCGGGGCTCTCGCGGCGCGCAAGGACCCGAGCCTTCGCGGCGTGCATCACAGGGGAGAAGGGGAGGGAGGGAGGAGGGAGGAGGGAGGAGGGAGGAGGAGGAGCAGGAGCAGGAGCAGGAGGAGGAGGAGGAGGAGGAGGAGGAGCAGGAGCAGGAGCAAGAGGAGGAGGAGAGGAAGCAGGAGGAGCAGGAGAGGAGGAGGAGGAGGGGGAGGAGGAGGAGGAGTAGGAGGTAGGAGGAGGAGGAGGAGGAGGAGGGAGGAGGACGAGGACGAAAAGGGAAGAGAAGGGGAATGCAAGGACGGTGACCAGGATGGTGAGCAGGGTGAGAGGAGGAGGAGGAGGAGAGGAGGAGGAGAAGGAGAAGGAGAAGGAGGAGGGGGAGGAGGAGGAGGAGGAGGAGGAGGAGGAGGAGGAGGAGGAGGAGGAGGAGGAGGAGGAGGAGGGAGGAGGAGGAGGAGGAGGAGGAGGAGGGGAGGAGGGGGAGGAGGAGGGGAAGGAGGAGGAGGAGGAGGAGGAGGAAGAGGAGGGTACGGGTGGGAAGGGGAGGACGGAGGTGGCGGGAGGGAATTGGGGAGGGGGGGGGACAGAGGAGGGAGGAGGGGCGAGGGAGGGAGGAGGAGGAGGAGGAGAGGAGGAGGGGAGGGGAGGAGGAGGAGGAGGAGGAGGAGGAGGAGGGGAAGGAGGAGGAGGAGGAGGAGGAGGAGGAGGGGAAGGAGGAGGGAGGAGGAGGAGGAGGAGGAAGAGGAGGAGGAGAGGAGGAAGAGAGTGTGAGGAAGACGAGTGCAGAAGATGCGGAGGAGAAATGAGGGAAGGAGGGATGCAGGGGGGATGATGAGCGGAGGAGGACAAGGAAGAGCAGCAAGAATATGCAGAAGAGAATAAAGAGCAAGAAGAAGAGGATCGGGAGATGCGGAGAAAGACAAAATGGTTGAAAAAAATGATACCCGGCTGCAGAGGCCACATCCACAGCACAACGCTGGCAATCTTCAGGGTTAATTAGCCAAGCCCTGGCGATGTGGAAAAAACGTAATCTCCCATAAGCCTTCCCCAGCAGGTTGTTCTTGCACTCTGGTGCGCCGAGGAGGCTGGCCAGGAAGAGGGAAAGCGGGAGGGGGGAAATCATAGCCCGAGCGCGGCATGTGCGCGGACGAATGGGGGGCCAGGGAACGTGAGGGGTCATGAAGTCTTGGAGATACCATGGCGTCGCCCTGCTGTGGCACCCCCATATTTGCACGAGCCTTGCCTGGGCTGGCACGCCCGAAATGGGTACGAAAAAATGGATGCGATACCCAACAGCAAATGGTGTCTAAAAATGACAGCGGCCGCTCCTGGGCAGGTTCTCTGCCTCGAGCGAACGACGTCCGCGGCGACGCCGGCAGCTAGTCCTGTCCAAAATGGACAGAAAGTGCTATTGGCCTTCGTCCCCTTCTTTCAATACCGAATCCGAACCTCCAGCTGGTGGGGGTCCTTCCTGAGCACACTTTTTGGCGAGCGCGGCCTCGCGCGCAGCGACGGGGCGGAGAAACTGCCCCCGAACACGCTACAGAAAAACGCGTGCGGCCACTCCCTCAGAGGATTGGGCAGGGATCCCAAACGCATCAACCATGCCAGACGCATAACTGAGCATGGGCAGCGAGGGCAGGAAGCAGCCAACAGCAGCAGGCGGCAAGTGGATGCGCGGCCCAGCCAGGCGGCAATGACGAGAGGACAAGGAATGAGAAGGAGGAAGCTGCAGTCGGACCTGGGCCAGATGAACGCCGTTCAAGAACATGCGACCCTCCATAGGCCACAGCAAGCAGAACATCAAAGGGTGCCCTCACCAGGATGCACGAGAACATCCAACAAACACGAAGAACAAGAGGGAACCCTCCCCGAACCGAACTAGATCTTACACCTCGATCCGACTGTACACGCAGGCCTGCGGCGTTTGAGCATCGTTGAACCGATTCCTATCCCCACCGGCGTGACCTTCGTGCCGCTGGCCGATTTCCCCCCCGAGATGGGGATATGTGATATTCCCTTTCGAGTTTCGCAAGTCATATCCGTATCCCAAACTGGGGGGGGGAGGGATGATGGGGCTGAGATACCCCCCCGCCCCCGTGGGGGTGGGGATCGGTTAGACGATGCTGCGCGTTGGGAACCGGGGAAGCAGTGCCCAGCCAAGGACGAGGCATCCCGCAGCACAGCGAGGCCGTATGCGGCGGAAGGCTGGGCGCGGAGAGCCCCGGTGGCCTGCGGGTGTCCAAGCCAAGGGGAGCGGCGACGCAGCGCCTCCTCCTCCTCCTCCTCCTCCTCCTCCTCCTCCTCCTCCTCCTCCTCCTCCTCCTCCTCCTCCTGTTCCTCCCCTTGTCTGGGCACACGCGTCGCCAGGGTGCCCCGCGCTCTGCCCTTCGCGCCAGGGCGACGAGCTCCACAGAAGAGCGCCCCTACGAACGCAGGCGCTGCCGCAAGCACTTTCGCAGTACCTTCGGCGCCCGCGATTCGGACCTCCTCCCTCCCGCGCGCAAACGACGGCGGACGGCCCGGGGTGGGCCAAGGACAGCACGGAGGGGCCCCAATGCCCAGACTTGCCCACGCTGGAGGGCAGGCCCGCGCCGAGGCGGAGCAGCGGCGAAGGGCACCGAGGGAAAAGGAAGGAGGGATAACGAGGAGGAGGAGAGGAGGAGGAGAAAGAGGCGGAGGAGGAGGAGGAGGAGCAAGAGGAGGAGGAGGAGCGAGAGGAGGAGGAGCAGAAAGAAGAGGAGGAGGAGGAGGAGAAGGAAAAGGAGGAGGAAGAGGAGGAGGAGGAGGAAAAGGATCATGAGAAGAAGGAGGACGAGGAGGAGGAGGAGGAGCAGGAGGAGGGGGGAGGTGGAGGAGGAGGAGGAGGAGAAGGAGGAGGAGGAGGAGGAGGAGGAGGAGGAGGGGGAGGGGGAGCAGGAGGAGGAGTATAAGGAAGATGAGGAGGAGGAGGATGAAGAGGAGGAGGAGGAGTTGGAATAAAGACGACGGACGACGACGCTGTTGCCGCGACTGACGATGGGTACGTGAGGAGAGGGGTGTGTTTTGTGGTCCCGGGAAGGCTCGTACTGCGGTGATGGGGAGTGTGGGAGGGGGGGGGGGGGCATGGGCTGGGTTTACCTAGAACCCTTCCCCATACGATGTTGGAGGGGGGGGCGGGGCAGGAGGAGGACAGGAAAAGGAGCCGCCCTCCAATCGGACTCCGCCATCTTCCCTGTTCAGTGCCCTCTCTGGCTCCCTGGCGTTCCGCCCTCTGCTCTACTCTGGTCTACTCTACTATGTGTTCCAGTCCCTGGCATGCACGCATGCGCGCCGCAGGATGTACCGACCCTTCTGGCCCGCGAAAGTATTACCAGTATGTGTCGTAATCGTCTTGTTCGTAGTATTACGATTATGTGTCTGCGCATGTCATGGGTGTTTTCGTTTTGTCGCATTATGCTTACTATCCGTCTTATTGTTAGTATTATAATTCGTCGCCGTATTATTTTCCTGTTTCACATTATTGGTGTTTTGGTCATTCTAGCTTTCGTTCGTAATAATATGAGTAGCGTTCGCGTCATTACGGTTCGTAGCATTAGCATTCCTAATCGTCGAATCACTATTCTTCTTGACTGTTAGAAGTAACGGTGTTACTGTTATCAATGTCAGTAGCATGATAATCAGTAGTGGTAGAATTCGTGGTAACATTAGTAGTTCTAGTGTTACGGTTACACGTCCAAATTGGATTCGTCTGGCCCGTCGCCTGCATATCAAATATGAATGTTCTTTGTTAAAATCACATAATCATGGCTGGCATCATGATAATTATGGTATTCGTGTTGTGCGATCGGTAAGTTAAGATTGCTCATACTATTCTGCGTAGTATTATTACAATTGCTAGTACTGTGTGTCTTGGTCGTCCTTTCTTTTTGTGCGAGTGTTATCACGGGTACTGGTATTATTCGTAGTAGGAGTACTGAGATTCCCGATAATAGTCTTCGTGCTAGTACTATTGTCATGGTTCGTGTTGTCCCTCTTGGTACTTGTACGACTAAATTTCTGATTCATATTATTTGCGGCTTTCCTTTTCCTATCAGCTATATGATTATTGGTAGTGCTCCTCTTTTTAGACCACTGATTAGTATGATTCCCCTTACTGTTATTAATATTGTTCGTCTTTTTATTATTCGTATTGTTCTTATGTTGTCATTCGCACTCCTCGTCCTCCTTCTCCTTATCATCCTCATCCTCCTTCTCCACCTCCTCTCTTTCCTCCTTCTATCTCTCCTTCTCATACTATACATCCTCTTTCCCCTCTTCCTCCTCCACCCCCTCCTCCTCTCGATCTTGACAACATCATCATCAGCATCATCATCATCATCATCATCACCATCATCATCATCATCATCATCATCATCATCATCATCATCATCATCATCCATCCACTCATCCTCTGCGTGCCCTTCCACATGTCGGCTCGGAGCCTCGAGCGGAACGGAATGGACTTGACTGGCTAGAACGCCCCTCCTGCGTACAAGGGAAGGAGGAGGCGCCGTGTCCGCATTCAGCGACGCGAGCGCAAGCAGCGGAGTGCGCTTGGGCTTGTCCGCGTCCAAGACTTGCCTGGGAGGGACCTATCATGCTGATCCTCCTCAGATCCCCCTGCCTCTCATCCATCCACCCATTCCTGCCCTCTCCTCCTTCCCTGGACTTCTCCCCACATTCATTATCCTCCTCTTCCTATTCCTCTTCCTCCTCATACTCTTACTGCTCCTCCTCCTCCTCCTCCTCCTACTCCTCCTCCTAGTCCTCCTCCTCCTCCTCCTCCTCCTCCTCCTCTTCCTCTTCCTCTTCCTCCTCCTCCTCCTCCTCCCCCCTCCTCTTCCTCCTCTTCCTACTCGTCCTCCCCCTCCTCACCAGGCGACACGTCAACGAAGAAGGACCCGAAAGAGCTCGCCGAGCCCCACTTGGCTCAACAGGAGCACACGATACAGGGCCAAAAGGCCCAGCGCGACGCCCCGACGAGCCAGGCAGACAAAACAAGGCAAGACCCCCGCCAGACGAGCGTCGACCGGGCCCCAAGAGACGTCGGACAAACACATACACCTATATATATATATATATATATATATATATATACATACATATATACATACATATATACATTTATATACATATATATGTATATACATAACCATGCGATTGCAATCTATATGCATATATACACATATACATACATACATACATACATACATACATACATACATACATACATGCATGCATGCTGCATGCATGCATCATGCATGCATGCATGCATGCATGCATGCATACATACATACATACATACATACATGCATGCATGCATGCATGCATGCATGCATTACATTACATTACATTACATTACATTACATTACATTACATTACATTACATTACATTACATTACATTACATTACATTACATTACATTACATTACATTACATTACATTACATTACATTACATTACATTACATTACATTACATTACATTACATTACATACATACATACATACATACATACATACATACATACATACATACATACATACACATATACACACATACACACATGTAGATGACGACCCGAAGCCGAACCCTAGTTCAAGGAGGAAGAGGGGCGCGCGCACCTGGTGACTCGTGGACTGCGAACGGCAGGTGCTCGGTCGGACCACCGTTGCATCGCACCCCTGCACCACCCAGCAGGCAGCCTACAGCCAGGCTCAACCCAAACACGATGGGGACCCGCCCGCATTGGCGGTGCGGCCGCTTGCAGGTGGATTCCTGCACGTCGCGTTGTTTCGTCCGCGGCAGGCGCGAAGGACAAGCGAGTTGCACAGCGCGACCGCCACTATGCTCATCTCGATAGCAAGAACGCGGACGTGTTCCCACAACAACTTCAAAACTTCCCACATCAGCGGCGCTAGGTAGAAGACATACACCAAAACCAACGTTACCTTGTAAATCAAAACGGCCACCGCTAAGGGTTCGCTTTATTTCAAAGCCAGCATCGCGGCATTTCTAGCGTGGACAATAAATATAAACGCCCCCACGCGCGCGCGCAAACGCGCGGACACCCCTGCATAGTCTGCATGGAAAACAAACACCCGAATCCCTAGCAAATTGGATGTCCTAACGGATACTTTTAAAGGCCCGTTTTAATTCCCAAACCAATATGGCGATTTTACTACTGCTCGCAATACATCTCCACGCGAGCCCGGAGAGTTCTGCGTTGTCCATGACTCAGACCATGCAACAGATACCTCGTGAATTGCGAAACCAAACCGGTCATCTGTTCAGGCCCACACTTGTTCCCAAATAATCACGGCGACTTGTCCATTGCGGGCAACTCCGAACTCCCGGCGATGACGCGGGCGGCTTGAATTGTCAATGAAACAAAACGTGCACCAGAACCAACGTTAAATCGAAGTCAAATCTGACATCGTTAAACGGTGAATTGAATCTCGAAGAGAACATGCCTGAGGACATTTGCTGCGTCGACATGTTTGCGCTGCGGGCCGGGCAGAACTCCCCGCGCGCTCGCGCGCGCGAGGTGAGTTCTGCATGCCAAGAATGCGAAATATTCACCGTCTAGGAATCACGTCAGTCCCCAGGCCCACATTGCGACTGTTAAGGGCAATGCGGACCTTCCCGCGCGCGCGGGCAGTTCTGCGCTGTTCCAAAATACCAACCAGCCATACACCATTTGCATATCCACTTGAAAATCAAATTGGTCGCCGTCAAGGGATCACATAAGTTGCAGAGCCAACATGGTAACTGTTCTACTGTCAACAAAACAGGATTCCCCGCGCACGCGCGCACGCACGCGGAAAATTCTGCAGCGTCAATCGCGCATGACATACACTGGCAACCGCGTAAAATCGCAAGTTCAAGCAGCCGCCGAAAAAGTGCCCACTTGCGTTCCCAGGCCGCCATGGCGACATTTCTATAGTGGACAATACAGACCTCCCCACGCGCGCGCGTTCCAGGGGCCCCGTACTGTCCACCTTACAAAACATGCACCCGAACCAGGGTTCACCTGGAAATTTAGCCAGTCACCGCCAAGGGCTGAATTTAGTTTCCAGCTCTGCATGGCGAGGTCTCTATTGCGATGAATACTGAACTCCCCGCCCCCACGCGCGCCGCCCGCGAGGGGGCGCGCGCGCGCCCGCGCGGGAAAATCTGCAATGCCCTTCAAACAAAACATACACCAGAACCCACATGACCCTGGGATTTCAATCGGCAACCGCTCGGGGCACACTTGAGATCCCCCTCGCGGACAACGCAGAACTCCCCAAGCGCGCGGTCGCACGCCCGCCAATCAAACTTACAGAACAGGTAGATTGGAAAACAAAACTGTTACTGCTTCGGATACGCTTCAGTTTCCAAACCACAATGGCGCCTGGCCCATTGTGGGCGATCCAGAATTGCCCACGCGCGGGCGCGCCACGCGGGAAGTTCAGTAATGTCTACAACACCAAACATACACCAGAAACCATGCTAGCTTGGAACATAAGACCTGCCACCTTTAATGATTGGTTGCCTTTTCCAGGCCAACACGGCGACTTCCCCGTTGGGGGCAGCGCAGGGCACCCCAACACGCGCGCGCGCGGGAACCTCAACAGTGCCCACAAGACAAATTACGCATCAGAATCCAAGCGTGTCATGGAAAGTAAGTGGCCACAAACAATAAACTTTGACTTTGGTTCTGGCTCACTACAACGACTTTTTGGGGGTGGACGAGGCAGGAATTCCCGCGCGCGCTGGCGCGAGCGCGCGCGGCGAGTTCTGCCGTTCACAATTCAAAATGCGCACCAGAACCCATGCCAACCTGGCAGCCCAATCTGTCTCCACTACGGGTTTACTTCAGTTTACAAGCCATCACTGCGACTCTTCCATCGTTGACAACACATAATTTCCACTGCGCGCGCGGGCGCGCTCGCGCGAGGAGCCTTGCATGGTCAGGAACATGACAAAAACGCATAACCGGTGCTAACCTGCAAATCCAGTCGGCCACCGTCAAGGGCTTACTTTAGTTTCCAGGCCCCCGCGGATGGACACTGCAGAACACACGCGCGCGCGTCCGCAGGCGCCCGCGCGCGCGGAGTTCTGCGCTGTCCGCGACAGAGAAGTAGCCGCGTCGGCCTGTGACCGTTTAGACTTCGAATCCACACGGTATCTGTTGAATGCGTTGTATACTGGGCAAGAATGAAGATCGCCCTGCGCGCGCGCGACCGCGCGCGCGGAGCTCTGCATTGTCCACTCTAAAACAATCGGCACGTTGGCCTGGAAACTACAGTCAACCCCTACGGCGACCAATTGGGTTTCCGAATTCACACTGGTTCTGGCGCAGGCTATGTTCGATAGAAAATTCAAAACTCCGAACGCCCGCGCGCGCAGGGAGTTCTGCATTGTCCACAACAGGAAAGCAGCCATGTTTGCCTGGGAACCAGTGGGCCTGTACGGATAACCGATGTGTCCCAAAATATCATTGGATCTGGCTTACATGTTGCGTCATTAACAGCACGGAACTCTTCGCGCGCGCGTGGGGATATGCACTGCCAGCAAGTGAAATTCGCCAGGTCAGCAAAAAAAATTAAGTGAACGCTGAACGGCAACAGGTTGGATCTCCAAGTTACATGGGTTCTGGCGTGCGCTTGCATCACGGACAAAGCCAAACTCCCCACGCGCGCGCGTGCCCGCGCGCGCGCGTGGAGAGCGCCTCGTTGTCCACAACAGAAAAAAACGGCATGCTGGCCTGGAAACAGACATGAGCCCTTAACGGTGACCGAATGGACTACGAAGTTCGCATGGTTCCTCCTGCACGTCTGGCAGCATGGTGGACAATACAGAACTCCTCGCGCGAGCGCGTGGAAAGCACTGCGTCGCTCACAATAGACACCTCGGCACGATGGCCTAAGTAAAACTGAATCCTTAACGGTGGCCGTTGAGAGGTCGAAGTGCACAGTGGGTATGGCGCGCGTTCTGTATAGTGGACAAAACAGAGTTCCCCTTGCGCGCGCGCAAGTCGCCCAGGTGACTCGGATCACCCAAAATCCGGGCGAGGCGCTCCAAGGTTGCGCGCTTCGAGTTCCCAGGCCCGCACGGCGACTTTCCAAAACGTTACTAATGTCGGGCATCCAGTCGGCACGCGCGTTATTTATGAACTGTGGCCCAGGCCAACGTGGTGACTTCCCCACTACAAGAGCACAGGACTATCCATCCGCCGCGCGCTACGCGCTACATGAGAACATGCAATGGACATGTGCAAACCGCACCTGAAGTTGGACATGCAGTCGGCGCGCACGACGCGTTGAGAAACTCATCGGGTAATTCCGTTGGTCCCAACGGAATGTTCGATGAATCCACTGGCAACACCATGAATCGACGACCCCACGTTGGCAAGAATGGAAGGCTGCGAAAATTACGGCGCATCACACATAACACCAAATACCCCCAAACAACCTACTAGATCTCAAAAGTTCTACGAAACTAGAGGAAGCCGAACCGAAAATGATCGCGATATATACTCTGCTTCAAAAAGCACAACGAAACAGATCATGCAACACTGGACAGACAAGTGTCTTTGTGAGTTTCAATTCTTAGATAAATCAAGCTTGTCATGGTTCTCCTACATGAACATTGTCGCCGCTGGCCACTGCAGCGCCGTCGCTCCTAAGCAGCGCAAAACGGCTGTATCCAGTGGCAACTTGTACGTAGCTTGCCCCTGGCCCCAATGCTGGCAAATCAAAAGACCCCACGGGTTGTCGCCACAGGCCAATGCCACGCCGTCGTCCGCAAGTGCACTGTTGTCTCGCGCTCGGCGACAACTTGGATGAATCTCGACTCCGCGTCCAGCGCAGGTACAATTTGTTGGCCATATCCGTTGATGTCGCAAGTCGTTGCAGCGCCGTCGCTCTAGAGAAGCACTGTGGGTGACGGCCTACGGCAACTTGCGTGCAGCCCTGCGGGCAAGGCTGGAACACGCGGTGCTGTCCATGGGCACGGGCCCAGTTGTCGCTGAGCGTGTACCTGTCGAGGCGCCAATGAGCTCCACAGACAACCGCCAGACCGTCGCTCCTAAGCACCACTGTGCAGAATTTTCTACCAGCGAAAATCAAATCCAAACAAGGAGGACAACCTGTCTCAGGCTCTTCACGACTGTCAGTCCACGGGGAAGTCAAGCGGGAGAGAGAGAGAGAGAGAGATCCTCGCCACAACAGCTGGGCCCGTTCGAGTACCGGGAGGAGAGGCAATGAAGTCGAACTCCATGGTGACTCGACCCCCCCAAGGGAGCGACGACGACGACGACGACGACGACGACGACGGCGGGGAACGACAGTAGGATAGCTACAAACTTTCGGAGCTCCGCGCGGATATCTTGGATCGGCGCTAGGCCCCCCCTCCCTGGCGCGCGAAGCGCGTCAGCGGCGGCATCACAGGCGCCGCCAGGGGGGCCCAGCGCAGATCCGATAAATCCTTGCGGAGCTCCGAAAAGTTTCTAATTGCGCAGCGCCATGCCGAATAGGATTCCGCCTCTTCCAGCCTGCCCGACTCGTGGCATGAACGCAACGGGTCCCGTGGGGAACGGGCCCTAAATTCGGGCGTCTTCCCCAAGGACCGAGCCTTCGTCCTGCCAGGTTTCCTGACCGTCCGGGGGCCCGTAGAGGGGCCCGGGGAGCCAGAAGCGGTGACAGACCTCAGGACACGTCTTCCGCATTATACAATTACTCAATATGAATACTACTCTCCTCTTTCCCCTGATGACGGGTTGGGAGTGTTCGCCCCCCCCCCCCCCACGTACTGTTTTTTTACACACAGGATTCCCCGGAGTTGGGTTTTCGCCTGCATTTCTTTCAAAATGCTGCTCTCACTGAGGCGCTGGCCTCATTTTCGGGCCCCGCTCGTTCCAAATCGTGCTCCCGCTGCAGCGCTGGCCTCATTTCCGTGCTTCCGCTCGTTCCGAATCATGCTCCCGCTGCAGCGCTGGCCTCATTTCCGCGCTTCCGCTCGTTCCGACTCGTGCTCCCGCTGCAGCGCTGGCGTCATTTCCCGTGCCATGCCACGACATGCAATGCAATTCTCGGTTGCGTCCCGCTGCGCGATGCCATGCCTTCAGCTGAAGCTGTGATATGCAGTGCTTCAGTGCCACGTCGTGCTATGCGATGCTATATTTTGATCTTCAACGCAATGTTATGCAATGTTATGTTCGGGGCCGCTGTGCGATGCCATGCTTTGCGTTGCAAAGCTGTGTGATGCAATTCTTCACTACGCCACGCCACGCCATGCTGTGACATACTACGCTTTGCGGTGCTCTTCTACGCCATGTCATGCCGTGCTCTACATTGCATCGCGTACCCTTTCGGGATCATTGCCCTGCTCGACATCCGACAATGCGGGTAGATAGGGGATCTACGCCATGGTAAGGGATGGGAGGGAGGGGTAGGATGTCAGATATGACGCGAGCGCACCTAGCTTGTCCTCCTCACCCTCCTTGTCATCCACCACCACTTCCTTTTTTTCATTTTCCTCCTTCTCCTTCTCCTCCTCCTCCCCCTTCCGCTTCCTTCGGGGCCAACGTCCTCAGCCTCAGGTGGGGCCGCGGGAGCATCCCAGGAGCCGGCCCTCCCAGGGTCACGCGAGCCCGTGGCAGGCCCGCGCTGCCACCTCTCGTCCTTCCTGCGTGCGCCCACCGCAGCGAGAAGGGAGGTGCGGCTTGCCTGCGCTGGATGTGTTCTACCAGTGGCGAGCCCAGGGAAGCAGGTGAGGAGGGGGGGAGCCTGCTCAGAAGGCGGCGGGGCTTCTCGGAAGCCCTCGCGCCTTCCAGAAGCCGTCCGTGGCCTGGGAGAAGGCTCACAAGGCTTCCCAGAACGCGAGGGTTCCTGAGAAGCCCCGCCGCCTTCTGAGAAGGCCTGCCCCCTCCTCACCTTCCCCCCTAGGCTCGCCGCAGACTTTGGGGAGGGGGCTGGGGACGGAAGGCTGCACGAAAGCATAAATGATGTGTGGTGGGGCTGCTCTGGTCCCTCTCTTCTTCCAGTATGGCAGCAGCTACGATCAAAACTGATAGTAAGGATGGATGCGTGATAAGGATGCAAGCCCTTGGACGCCCATGTTGAAGATTTTTCGAGCGCGGCGGGCCGTCGAAAGTGGTGAAGGATGGACCGAAGAGGCAAGGATGCAAGGGTACCATTGAGGAGGTTGCCCATCCTTGCTATCGATTTCGACGGTAGACTCTTGTGCAGTGGGAAAAGCTCCAAAATCTAGTCAAAAGTGGTGGTCGGGTGGGCCCCAGAAGTTGTTGGTGGTCCCTGAAGACTGGAGAGGGCTCCTGCAGGAACAGCAGGAGCGATCCCGAGCCGCCCTCCTGCGACTGCGGTGGAGCCCATTGCACACACGGACCGCATGCGCCAGAATGTTCCGATCCCTGGGGTGTTCCCCCACTGTGCTGGCACATCAAGACGAGGGCAGGGTACCACCGAATCTGGCACGACAAAATCAGGGATCACTGAGAGCCAACGAGTTCAGAGGATGCACTGGGTGCCACGGCCGCCTCAGAGAGCTCTGAAACGCTACGATAAGGCCCTGGAGCGAGCTACTTGTATCACAAGGCTGCCTCACGCGGTCCGCATGCCCCAATCTACGTACTTTCTGATGTCCTGGCGCCCCTCAACATGTAAACGCCCGAAATGTGCACAGACCGACGGCGGCCGCCGTTAGGCAGCCGGCCTCCTGTCTCAAATGGACGCCGTCCGCGGCGGCGCGGACAGCGAGCCCTGTTCGGTCTTTGTACAGTCGGACCACAGAAGAACACCCTTCAAGAACACGAGGCCCCCCGCTGGCCAAAACGAACAGAGCATCCAAGGGTACCCTCCCCAGGATGCACAAGAACGTCCGACAGACACGAAGAAAACTGTGGTACCCTGTCCGAACCGACCTCGTTCTTGTGCCTCGGTCGGCTGTACACATGTTTTCCGTACCTATTTCGATCGCACCGACCACACCTGAGCGAACGCAGCAAACAGGAAGCACGGCGGGCGGCGAGCTGGCGTGTCGGCTTTGGGGCTCAGGATGACCTCCCGCCCCGCCCCGCTCTGCGAGCGCGCGCGGACCTCCAGCCGACCCGCACCTGTGGCCAGAGGCGAGCGACTCTGCAACTGCACAGCATCGGCGGCGACGAGAAGGGCGAACAGCCCAGGGGCGGGCATTGAACGTGTTCGCCTGGGAGCCTTGTCGAAGACATGGATCATCAGCGCCCCTGGATAATTGATCTCTCCTGGGCTATTCGCCCTTATCGTCGCCTCTGACAGCAGAGTTCGCGAACGGTCACACGCGACAAGGAGCACCCACGCTCACCTGACGCGCTTGCCTCTGAAGGCCACTTGAAACATCGGCGGCTCTTCGGGAGCGGCCAAGAGGGGGGTGTCCAAGAGGGGGGGGTGCAAATCATGACCTGCGGCATGTGCGCGGCCCAGCGGGGGGGCCAGGGACGTAATGAAATGAGAAGAGGCGCCATGAGACCTGGGGAAATATCATGGCCCCCGCCATGATATCCACCCCCCCCTAGTCATCACCCCCCTCTTTTCCGCCCCCGATTGAAACATCGGCGGCTCTGCCGCCTGGCCAAAACCCGCTCACAGTCGGTCCCCGGGACCCCTCCCCGGGCCCGTCCCCACGCGTTGCCCGAGGCGGATCCAGCCGTGGCGCCGGGAGCTCTCCAGGAGGCTCGACAAAGACGAAAAACGGCGGGGAGGACAGGAGGACTCGGCGGAGGAGGAGGAGGAGGACAGGAGGAGGAGGAGGAGGAGGAGGAGGAAGATGAGGAGGACAAAGAGGAGGAGGGTGCCGTTTGGGCGCCTCTTGGAGCCTGTGTTGGGCCTCTTGGGGGCCTCTTGGGAGTCTCCTGGGGCCTTTGGGGGGCCTCTTGGGGCCTCCTGGGAGCTCGTTGGGGCGGAAGGCTGCATTTGTCTCGACTGGCCCTCCTCCGATCCCTGGCATCCGCTGGTATGACTGCTCCATCCGCGGCCTCAGAAAGCCCAGGGTTATAGTTTTCCGTCGCGGGCACACTTCTGATGGCGTCGGGGCCCGCTACCGGGCCCCAGGGGCCGAGAGCCAGGAAAAAAACGCCCGGATTGAAAAAACGTATGTCCGGAGGTTTGGGACTGAACGCAGAACGCCACGCGAGCGACGAAAGGAAAAGCGTCTTACGCGCGCCGACACGGCGACCTTGCGAGGCGGCTTACGCGGGCCACCAGCGCAGCACGCTACGCTGGAAACGAAGGAGCTCACGCGCGACCTCACGCGGGCAGCTCACACAGCAATGTCGGTGGAAGCGAACCCGTTGCTTAGCGTCGCCCGTATGGGCAGAAGCTCTCCGACGTCCACGGACGGCCCTTCCGCGGGCGCCAGACCTCCCCTCTGGGCCGGCGCCTCCGGCGCATCCCCCTGAGTGTCGGGCGTTGTGAACACTTGAAAGTAGCAGCCTCTTGGCATACTTCTCGGGCGCCTCGTGGAGCGAGCTTTGAAGCTTCTTGTGACCTCTGGGGGCTGCTTGGGTGCCTCTTAGAACACCGTTTGTTTACTCATTTCTTCTTCAATCAACGCTGCTGTATGGGCCACGGTCTTTAGGACACTGTGAGTACAGAGACGCGCTAAAAAATCCCGTGCGTTGACGGCGCAAAGAGAATAACCGCTCTCTCTGGGTGCACTACCTCTGTTCGTCCTGGCAATTACCGGCGAACCAGTTGGTGGAATTTGGCCGGCTGGAAAAGGTTGGCGGGATACATGCAAAGAAAATCTTGGCGTATCGCGAACCGCCCTTGCCAAGTTCTCGTGGCGGATTCGCATGCTCAGCCTGATCCACGGAACGAAACGCTGAGCGGCACTGTTGTAAAATTGGTTAAACGTCTTAAAATTTGATTTATAGGAATTTCGATGTGGCATTCCTGGCTTGATTACGCGCTCACTCACTGTCCACCGCTGCTCAACTTCCACATCACGGTCAACATGAACAGGGTAGACGGCACGAGGCACATGTTCGGATCGTCAAGCAACGGCATCTTGACGCCACGGGCTTTGGAAGCCGCAAGAGAACGATCGTGTGGTGTCATCTGGCCTGGCGCTGCCTCACAACGACCGATCTTGCGCGTGCCAAAGATGCAATCCCACACGCCACCGAGCGCAGAGAACGTGTAATTGCACGACTTGTGCCCCTCATGGTGCCAGTCGTGGTGATGTGGCATCTGTGCGTAGGGCAGCCAGCGCTGTGTCTGGTGCGCAAGGTTCAGGTAGCAGCTTATGCCAGAATGCTTCTCCAAGCTCTCCAGGATGCGAAACACGTGCGAGACCCAGAAGCACCCGTGGTCGATGGGGCAGAGGACCTGTGCGGCGAAGTGCCCAGCAACATGATTGACAAAATTCTCCAGCCAGTGGTCCTGATACGTGTTCCGCGACAGCGGGTGCCGGGCCCAGTGGTGGACCGAGTGCAGGTTCCTCCAGAGCCAGGGGTTGACGTGGTAAGCTCGATGGCCCCAGTACATGCCGAAGGACATGATGTAGTGGTTCAGAGCGAGCTTCGCGACCCTGACGGGGAGACTGTCCTTCACATCCTCCGCCGCGGGGTAGTAGCCCGGCAGGCAGTAGTACACGAGCACGCCGAAGGCGAACTGGCTCAACATCGTCATCCTATCGTGCAGCACCAGCCGCGCCAGCTGGACTCTGTCACGGCCACACAAGTCTTTGCGGTCAACCAGCGCGTGATCGCTCGGCGGCTGTGTGCGGTACTGCGGGAAAGCAAAGTAGCACGCCTCAAGGTACGAATTGTAAACCCTCGTCACGATGCTCGTGCACCAAAAGAACCCCGCCACCTCCAAGAGTGGCATGCTGCCCTTCACGTTGACGGTGTCCACTGGCAACAGGACCGCTGCAGAGGTCAGGCCCACCAGGAGCGCCAGCTCTATCGCCGTGCTCAGCAGGTCGCCGCTGAACAGCAGGTTGCTGAAGTGCCGCGACGGGCGGACGTCTCCCTCGGGCACCCTGTGAACATAGTCCTCCTTGGCGAACTCCCAGCGCTTCGCGTCGTCGCCTCCCGTCACCGGCCGACCGGCGGAGGCTCCGGTCAGGTTCGTCATGGTCCCCGGGCCGAGTCCAGCCGCCTGTGCGGTGGGCCGCAGTGTTCTCGGTGCCAGAGCCCCGCGAGCGGCCTGTACGCCGCAAGCCGAAAAAACGCTGGTGCCAAAATGACTTTAGCTAAGATGGCTTGAGCTGAGAACCTCTTTTGGGGGCCCTTCGGGACTTCTTGGGGGCCTGCTGGCGGCTTCGGGGGCCCACCTGTGGCGGAGGGCTCGACATGTCAGTTTTGGGTTTTTCATCTTGGGCCGTCTTGGGCGACTCGTGGACCGTCATGGGGCTCTCTTGGGCCGTCTTGGCACCCTCTTGGGGACCTCTTGGGACGTCTTGGGGCACTCTTGGGGGCATCTTGGGCCGTCGCGGACGCTGTTAATAGCAAAAAAAAAACGAAGATGCTACAATATACATGGGAATGGGCTTGGGGTGTCTTGGGGCGAATTCGGAGCCTCAAGGGCCGGCTTGAGGCAATCTTTGGGCGTCTTCGGCCCTGTTGGGCCGCTCTGATCGCTAGTTGTTGCGCCCCCTTGAGCTGTCTTGAGCGGTGCGGGGGAGAGGCCCAGGAGGCGCTGAAAGGGGGTCCAAAATGCCGTGGGCCACCTGGGGGAAGGGGGGAACTGGGGTGGCGGGCTGGCCCTGGTCCCGGGCACCCGGCACAGTCGGGGCTGATTGGAGAGGGCGCGCGAGAGGACACAAGACCCCTCCGAGGGCCACACTGTCATGGGAAAGTAGAAGGCAGGGGTCGCGGAACACAGGACACATGGGTACCCTCTCGACTTGGCAGGGCCGACCTGCGAATCGACCTCGACTGCACCCTGGAATACGCCACATAGAGGGCCCCAGACGGCAGCGCGATGCCCCGAGTGAATTGCTAGGTCTGGAACGGAGCGGGAGCAGGGGGCTCGAACAAATCGGGGGCGTCCAAGAGGGGGGCGTCCAAGAGGGGGGGGGGGACGCAAATCATGGCGGGGGGCACGTGCGCGGCCCAAGGGGGCAAGGGGGGAGGCAGGGGACGCAATTGAAATAAGAAGAGGCGCCATGAAATCTGGGGAGATATCATGGCCCCCGCCATGATATCCACCCTCCCCCAGTCATCAGCCCCCTTTTTTTTCAGTTCGACTGGGCGACGAATCACTGGAGAAAGTCCGACATCTGCGTGCAGAACGCAACGCTGATGGGTCAAAAGTAGGGGCGATGGTTCCAACCACACAAGCCCGATACTGCCGCTACAGCTGCGATGCAGAGCACAGCACGCACAAGGCCCGGTTCGAAAAATATGAAAACGTCAACCGTCTGCAATTCAAACAAGGTCATGGCACCTCTGAGGTTGCCAAAAACATAGCCAAGGCGCTGGCTGAGTGAAACATGTTGCATTATATTGTTCCAGGTTGGAAAATGGTTTGCTGCATTTCAGCTGGAGTCCTCTGAGCAGCTGTCCTCTGACATGGACTCTGGTATGGGCATGGGCCCGTTCTTTTCCTCAACCCATCCCGCTGTGTGGAAACTCTTGTGTATGGTCGCGAACGCCAGGAAAGCAACTATGGGCAGCGTCAACCAATGCTTCATGCAATCATAGTCGAACGGACCGTCACCTAGATTATCAAATTTGCACTCGAAATACATCATGACAGCCATGAGGAACAGCCAGGAAAAGTACAGCACGAGAATCGGCAGTCCAACGAAGATCCACCTCCCACCGCTCACTCACCACCTGCTAACCTGCTTTTCGGTGAGAGATTATTGTCCCTTTTCCTGCGTAACGAACATCATTAAGTATAAGTAAAGGCAGACGATGATGACTACCAGCAGGAGTAGCAGCTCTAACGATCCGAAAAGGGCGCCATAGATCTCCGTAGCCTTGTTGAACTTGTCGAAGTCCTCGAAGATGCAAGCCCCAACCATCGACAGTAGCAAGCCTGACAGCAGAGCATAAACCTGCAACATCTTCTCGAGATCATCAAAAGACGGAGGCCAGACGGTGAAAGCAAGCCCCACGATTGGGATTTGGTTGCAAAATTCGGTACAAGGATCGGAGCTAAATTCGGCACAATGATGAGAGCAGCCCATCTCGCTGGGAAATCAAGGGCTGAGGTCTCTCGCTGGTGCCCCTGAGCAGGAGATGCCTCCTCGAAGAAGCGGGTGCGGGCAAGGCGCCACTGTGCCCAAATGGCTTGAGCCAAAATGGCTACGGATCAGATGGCTGCTCAGATGGGCGGCCAAGAAGGGGGCTGATCAGATGGCTGCGTTTGTCTGATCAGCCCCCTTCTTGGCCGCCCCCCAACAAAATACTGTGGGAAAAAAAAAACATACTGTGGGAAAAAAAAACACTGTGGGAAAAAAAATACACACGTGTTTGTTTCCCACACACGTGTGTTGTTTTTGTTGTGTTTGTTTTTGGTGTTTTTCCCCCCACAGACTGTGTGTGTATTTTTTTCCCACGGTCTCTGGCGGGATCCGCTGGAAGGTGCGTTTGCTGCAGCGGGGCTGCTTCAACAGCACACGCCTGGACAGAAGCCCGCGCTCGAGCGGGCGTCCCACTCTGTCGAGACGAACGCAGCCCACACTTGACCGAGAGCGCTCCTGCGTCAGTCTCCTGCGCATCGACAAAAGTGGTTTTATAGGATGTTCAAGGTCAGCAAAAAAAGCAAGAATCAAGACACGCTGAACAGAACACTTGAAGACACCCCTCCCCCGTTCTCCGCATCCTCCGCCCTCCTCCCACGGACGGCCTGCACAACTGCCGCCTTCAAGCTCTCGTCGAGCTCTAGCTGCTAGACGGGTCCCGACCCCCAGTTCAGCAAAACATGGGGGTGCACACTCGAAATCTCTGGCGGCTGCTTCAGAGGAACCTGTGCTCAACGGGAGGGCGTAGTCTGAACAACGACGTGAGTGCTGTTGACCACCCCTCGCAGGGTGAGATGCGTCCCGAGTCCATGCTTCGGCGCGAATCGTATGCGCGCCTTCTCTCCACCGTCGTCGGCTTCGGCGGCGGTCTCGTCGTGGTCATGATGCGTACTGCACTGTGCTCGGGATTTGCTGCTTCATATCTGCAACAACCACTACCTGCACACGACATTCGATCACAGTCGAAGTCAAAGAAAATCTTAGAGAGCATCCTCACCTAGTATCCACCACCATGTCACCCTCGCTCCTCCCACGAAAGCACACAGAAGGCCAACCGTGGCATTATGACCGCCGATGGGAAGCTCTAATCGAGCCCAGCCTGCTGGCTGCTGGGTGGGTCCCGACCGCATAGAACCTGCGAAAACACCGTTCCCCTGCTGCCCCTCCAGATCAACACCCAGACCTCTTCTGGAGCGGGTTTTGGCCAGGATCTCAAAGCTTATCTAAGGGCAGGAAGCCCTCTCCCTTATCTCCCTCCTCCCCACCCTCTCGGACCTCATCATGCCTCAGTTCCTACACTCCGTTTCCTTATGAATAATTCTTCCCTGTCGCACCCCGAAGCCAGTTGGAAGGGCGGGCGGAGCGTTTCGACTGAGACTTCCTCACAATGTATGATCCTGAACCTTAGAAAGTTGCGACTGCTTCACGCATGGAGAAGGAGTGGTTTTCAAAATGTGGTTCGCGCCTTAGCACCGCGCACATTCGTGTGTAAAGTCGCAAGAGTTTTCACATGTTTTGAAAGCGGGTGGTTTTCAAATGTGGTGTTTGCCTTAGCGCCGTGCGCATTTTTTTACACTTGCAAGAGTTTCACGCAAGGGCGGTGGGGCGATTTCAAAATCAGGCTCTCGCTCTGGCGCTGCACACACTCGTCATAAAAACTCGCGAAAGCTTCATGGATTGAGGGCGGCTCCTTTACAAAATGTGGCTCTTGCCCAAGCGCCGCGCGCACTCGTTGCAAATAACTTCAAGACTCTCGCGGATGGAGGGCGAGTCGTTTTCAAAATGTGGTTTTCGTCTCTGCGATGCGCACACTCGTCATGAAAACTATTACATTTTCACGGATGAAGGCCAGTCCCTCTTCAAAATCTGGTTTTCGCTTTTGCGCTGCGCACATTCGTTGTAAGAGCTTACAACTGTTCCAGAGACAGTCATGGTTCACAAGCCAAAACCAGCGTTTTGGCACGATGTCAAACTCTCAGGGCGCAACCGTTTCGTTGATTCGTGGCTTGTGACGTCCCAAGAACGGTCTTCCGGTGCGTTTCGGGATCGTCAAGGCGCACCGGTAACGGTGATTCACGGCGTTGAAATCCAAGGAGTGCTTTTCTGGCACAAATCATGGTTTTCAACCAGCTGTTCTCCAACGGGACACTCCTTTCAGTGAAAATGAAACGTAAGGGGCCTATAGAGAAGGAGTTTGGAGGGACGGTGTATTGCAACATGGCTGCTGAATCTTTCACTTACACTGAACGTCCTCTGGTTCCTCCTCTCCCTGCTCCTCCTCCTCCTCCTCCTCCTCTTCCACCTCTTCCTCCTCCTCCTCCTCCTCCTCCTCCTCCTCCTCCTCCTCCTCATCATCATCATCATCATCATCATCATCATCATCATCATCATCATCATCATCATCATCATCATCATCATCATCATCATCATCCTCTTCCTCCTCCTTCTCCTCCTCCTCCGTCTGGACCTCCTCCTCCTCATCATCCTTTTCCTCCTCCTTTTCCTTCCCCCTTTCCACCTCTTCCTCCTTTTCCTCCTCCTATCCTCCTCCTCCTCTTCCTCCTCCTCCATTGCCTCCTCCTC